AAGGTGGAGCCATCTTGGTCTTGTAATTTGCTCTTCCCTGCCCCCCAAGAGGGAAGCCAGAGCTAGCGGGGCCAGCACTGCCCAGGAGGCAAGGTGGCCTACCTGTCGCACACCTGGAGGAGGAAATCATTGACCAGGCTCTCGTGCCGGCTGCAGATGCTTCTCTGGAAGGCACTCTTGAGCCAGTCCTCGATGCTGCACACCTGCACGCGGCTGGAGTGCCAACAGATGGAGAGGCTGCGGAGGGCCGGGCCCAGGAGGAAGTTGTCCTTCTGGAGTTCAGTGAGGGAACGGAAGTGCAGCAGGGACCACAGTGCGGGGTCCTCAAACACGTCGTGGAGCTGGGAGCAGGTCCTGGCGAGGCTCTTCCTGCTGTCCTTGTCTAGGAAGGAGAAGAGGTGCAGCAGGCACTCCCGGTTGAGCTGGGTTATGTGCATGGTGAGCAGTGGCCACATGTGAGTGCAGCTGCAGCCAGGGGACGGGCTGACCTGCCTGCTCTCCTCCTCCCCGGCTCTGGGCCGGTGGACATATATGGTTGAGGAATGGTGTTTATTTTTGGCTAACAACTGGTGCTGCAGCTCTGCGGAGGGGTGAGGGAAGAAAAGCCAGGACCCAGACATACGTGCGGCAGTCTGTGGTTCGGCTTCTGTTCAGAGGGATTGGAGGTCCTGGCAGAAAAGGAGCCTATTGAAGTTACTTTCCTTAAAAGGGATTTTTTTTCCCTTTAGCTGACAATGGTGTTTAGCGGCAAGCACTTTTGGCTTTTCCCAAGGCGTTTTCATTGGCGGTGGCAGTGGCGGTGGCCCGGCCAGCTCCGGCTGGCTTTGCAGTCTCTACTCACGGGGAAGGAGTCTAACTGTAAATGTTAACTGTGTTGATTTTCTAGTACATCAGTGTGGAATCTTTTGCTCCACCCTTACTAGGAAGAAACCTGTGTGTGAAGAGCTAAGAGTGACAGCTGTGAGTTGTGAGCAGAGTACATGGCTGCTGCCTCATTCCTGTGGTTTTGGGCCATACAGTAATTGTCTCCAGGCGAGGCTGATTGGCCTTCAAGTCCTGCTGCCTGCCACTAGGCAGGGGGATTTTCCTGACCTCCCCAACAGCTAGATTTTTACCCTGAGTTGTTTCATAAAAGATTTTACTGAAGTAGCTTCTTTCCAAAGTTGTGTGTCTGTGTTTTATTGGTGTTTTGTGGTTGATTGTGTAGTTTTGGTCAAGCAGTACTGAGTGTGTGTTTTAAATTTAAGTTTACTTGGCTTTACATTTTCTCACTGGTAAGGCCTTCTACTATGTGTGTATAACCTGTATTTCCCAAAATGTCAGGATGGATGAGGTAGCTCTTAATGTGAAACTGCTTGAAACAATTTTAGTATTTTAGTCCATCTTTGCCTTTAAGTTGACCACACACCATCCGCTCTGAGTGCCCTCTGTTCCCTGTTGGAGAAGCCAGTGGGGCCACCCCTGCACTCTCTGACTCAACTCTAGGCCAGGTTGCCTGGAGGTACTGTCCTTCCTGAGTACCCGAGGCCTCACGATATGGCAGACCCGTTTCCTCATGCTGCTTCACTCCCAAACCCAGGACCCAAACTTAACTCCCTTCTTTGAATCCCAGGCGTTTTTTGGTTTGCTTGGGGGATGCTGATGTGGTGCAGCTGTACAGGCCACGTTCTGCCTAGGCAATAGTGAGAAGAGAACGGTTTTTCCTCTGCCAGCCCAGGGACTACCACCTCAGTGGTTACTTTTGCTTGTTCTCCCATTTGGAACAAGAGGGAATGGGAATCCTTTTTGTTTTCCCATAGACACAAATGAAGCAGCCTATGCTGAACCCACTTCTGGAACTAAGGTTTGGTCAGGGCTGGTGCAGCTTTGCCTTTAAAGGCAGAAGGCAGTCAAGTAAAGAAGAAAGTAGCCATTGTCAGTGGCTTTCCTGAGAAGCCAGCCTCAGCTGGTGCCCCTGTGCCTCCATTACTCCACCGTGCCAAGATGAAGTGCAGGGGGGAGCGGGGGTTCTCTTAAAAACAAACCAAGGAACAGTCAAAAGGAAGCATTTCCCAAGGAAGGGGAGCCAGCTACTGCTGCTATTTCAAGCTCATCGATGTAGTTCTCAATCACAGCTGACACCCTAGTTTAGGCTCTGTCTAGGTGTACTTCTCCACTTAAAATGGATGCTGCAGTGCCACAGGTGGTGTTATTAGAAAGCTGCATTATCGTCACTTTCCCTCCCCAATCCTCCGCAAACCAATGCTTTTCAGAGGGTTGACCCTTAGGAATAGGTGGTTCTTTCAACTTCTTGCAAGGCCAGAGCGGTACTTGTGCCTTCCACTGAGTGAGAGCCACTGCTTCAGCATGGCTTCCACGTTGCACTACTGCAGCCCTGCTGGAATGGCAAAAGATTGGCAGGGAGCACATTTAGAGCCTCGCCTCTCTGCTGCCGCTCCAGGTAGGCTGCAGGAAGCATCCTGGACCACCAGGGCTGGGGGGAACATGCTCCTGCATGCTGCAGAGGGTCTGAGGCACAGCCAGAGGAGGTGACGAAGCTCTGCCCCTTTGGCCTTGTCCAGAGCTAGGCGGTTTGGCAGCAGTGACAGCAACCACGCAGCCTCTGACCAGCACAGCTGCCAAAAGAGAATGTGCCCCATGGAATAAGGATGCATAACAGTTTGAACTGCAGGGACCTGTGTCTTCAATTTTAGAAGACTGACAAGAACAGGCAAAGGACGAATGTCAAAACAGGGTTCCGTCTGCAGGAGGCATGGGGGCAGAGAGGTAGTCTACAGGAACTTAACTGTAAGCAGGATGTTTATTTAACAGTTACTTGCCTGTTTTACCTTAAAAGATGACCAATATCCTTTGCTCTGAACCCCAAAACTCATGCCTCAGGGTACAGTCTAGCTCTAAAGGGGAGGGAAGGGGCCTCATTTTTGTAAGATCAGTAGTCACAAGAGACTGAGGTGATTTCACTGAGCAAGGGTGAGTGGGACCTCAGGCACCTGACTGCAGGCACTAATCTCCCGGCCATCACTTTGCCCGTACAGGTCACTTCATCCTGTTCCAGGTACAGCAGCTCCAAATCGTGGGGATTCTGTAAGATCTTCCTACCTGCTGACTGAGGAGGCCCACAAGTTGAGTAAGTACATCATCATTTATGTGGCTCCACTGAAAAAAGGTGTTCAGAAATAAGTCAAAAGGAAAGAGAACAGACTTTTAATGATACTTTTTAAAACAGTTCAGGTTGGTGAAGCAGAAAAGGGATGTGATTACAATTTAAATGAATCAGTCACTTGCACAATTAATCTTCTTGGCATCATACACACTGGGTTTTAATGGAAAATGATGACATCACAGCATGACCAATGCTCATGGAAGGCAGTCTAGAGTCCATCACGCTCACACCTGAGGGGGAAGGCACTGCACCCACTGACGACACGCAGAGACCTTGGACTACACACGACACCACATGCCCACTTTTTCCTCGCCTGCCTATGGCTACTCCTAGTCACCTGGGACCCAGGCCTTGGCTGCAGGAACAGACTTTTTCCATGGGCTTTTCCAGGGCCCAAGTGAAGAGGCCACTTCAGCAACAGAGGGTACAGGAGAGAGTTTAGGGGCTGGTGGAGATTAAAGTGGGATAAGTGTATCTAAATAGACTTATGTACACTAAACCAATGAAGGAGAGGTTTGGCTTTAAGAAATAAATATGTCCCCAACCCCAGAAACCAAGCTGCTGAGTAGGTTCCACAGGTGAGATACACATGTAACACTCACTCTGGGCCAGTATACTTGACTGGTTTAATTCTAGCAGATTTGTCATCACTATACACTGAGTAGAATACAGTGGATAAGCAAAGGTTTCTCCACCATGGAGAGAGATTTGTGTTGCCACAAACTGTTTCTATCACCCACCTGTGTGGGAGGACTTCTGAGAAAGTTTTCTTGTTCCAAGGAGCCATGTGACTCAGTGCGAGGCCCTGCCTCAGCAGAAGCTCTGAGCGAGAAGCCACATATATTGCTGGAGACAACATGGCACACAGGAAAAGCCCTGAAGAGCACAAAAGATCAGCTTTCAAAATAGGTGTGGTAAGGCTACACAGTTAAAAATTAAAATACAATAGGCACATTTACATCACTGGTGTTCAAGTGCACAATTCAAATGGATCCAATCACTTTTCTAAAGAATCTTCATACCATTCAAACGTTTCTGTTCAAGTAAAACCAACCAATAAAAACAAATTCAGAGAGAAGACGTGTTCATCTCTTAAGCCAACAGCATCACCTGTCTGAAGACCACTCTGCCCGACAAAGTAGTCCAATGTTGCTAAAGTTCCATTTGGTATAAAAATACAGCTTTTTTTCACCATCAACTCTGCCCAGGCCCTTACTGTTCAACAGCTGCCCATTCAGAGACTGAAGATGGAAGGATCAATGCTAGAGGTTTCAGCTGTCTACCTTCTAAGCAAAAGAGCCCGGATTCATAGGAGATACTTCGCACGATCACAGGAGACACTCACATTTTAGGTTCAATTAGATGTGGTGTTAATGTGTGATACATCAGATCAGGTTGGAGCTGTCATTTTTGTAGATCAGAACTCGTCAAATAGCAGAGTTTCATACAGTTTAACCTAATGTAATTTAGCGCTGTAAATTAACTTAAGCACACATTTCCCTATTATCTTTTAGGACTCCAAGTTGTAAGACCTAAACATGACGGCAAAGCTTTATTCTTTGGAGTGAAAATTTAGAGCAGCACTGTCCTACGCTGTCTGCGGGTGCTGAGCACTTGAAATGTGGCTAGTGTGACTGAAGGCACTGAGTTTCTAATTTCAATTTCAATCACATGTGGCTAGGGGCCATTGTACTGGATGATGTAAGTTTACACATAATTGCAATTTGCTCCTTGTCATCTTAAAGTGTTTAGCAGATGTGTTCTGGGAAGATGTGGGATTTATCCAGTTAATATTAAAATGGAAATGGAGCTACATCTGATCCCACAACTTCAGATACCCAACCTGAGGGAAAGCCATCAGACTGTTCTTACATTCATAAACTTAAAAATAAAAAATGATCAAGATGTTATTAATAAAACAGGCTGGGTGTGGTGGCTCATGCCTGTAATCCCAGCACCTTGGGAAGCCAAGGCGGGTGGATCACTTGAGCCCAGGAGTGCAAGACCAGCCTGGGCAACATGGTGAAACCCCATGTCCAGTAAAAATATTAAAAATTAGCTGGGTGTGGTGGTGCCAGCTACTTCGAGGCTAAAGTGGGAGGATAGCTTGAGCCTGGGAGGTTGAGGCTACAGTGAGCTGTGATCATGCCACTGTGCTCCAACCTGAGGGACAGAGTAAGACTCCATCTAAAAAAAGAAAAAAAAATGTCTGAAAGTTTTGTTGGCTTAATACAAGATACATTTTGTTCCTTGTGGAGAATTGGTAGGCTACATCTACCAATGCCCCCCACAACCAAAAAAAAAAAAAAAAATCAAAGGACTGTCTTAGAACACTTGTAGAAACTACAACTGCTTTCTTTAAATGGAATTCTGTTTCCAAATTTGAATTTGAGTTAAATCTATTTTTTAAAAACAAAACTGGCTGGGTGTGGTGTGGTGAGGTGGGCAGATCACCTGAGGTCAGGAGTTCGAGACCATCCTAGCCAACGTGGTAAACCCCTGTCTTTACTAAAAATAAAAAAAAAAATAGCCAGGTGTAGTGGTGGGCACCTGGAATCCCAGCTACTCGGGAGGCTGAGGGTGCAGTGAGCTGAGATCATGCCACTGCACTCTAGCCTGGGCAACAGAGCGAGATTCTTGTCTCCAAAAAAACCCCCAAAAAACAAAACGAAAACTCTCCTTACTCAAAATGAGAATACTTTCAACTTCTCCTCTCAGGATAGGCCAGTGAGAGGTGTTAAAACCCAGAGCAGCAGAGATTCTAAATGTCCTCCGGTGGAAGCACACCCCCAGTGATAAACTGAAGTGCAGGTGATAAGCCAAGTAAATCCCAGAGGCTCACACCTCAGACTCAGGTGCCAAACACAAGCAGTAAGTCTAAAATGGACATGCCGTGACTTCCAGTGCTACAACTAAGGGGGAATGAGAGACTGATTCAAAAAGGAGGCAGACGCCATGGCTTTACCTCACTGTAACACCTATACCATGTCAGTGAGTCACAACATTTTTTTAAACATTACATGTATTTGATCTTTACTCCCATCTTACCTCCCCGCAAACAAGTATGCCCCAAAACCAAAAAACCAACAAAGACAGTAATTCTTGTATTTGCAGGACAAGTACAACTGAACCAACAAATTTATTTAGTTAGTGCTGATAAACAGCAGCCTTGAGAGACAAGCAGTAATTACCTGGTCTACTTAATGATGCCCTTTGTTATCTTTTACAGGCAAAAAGAATGATTACTCAGCAGTCACTGTGAAATTTTGTGGGCCACAAGTTGTGTGCACACATGATCCTTGATTTAGAGACAACCTGATCTCCGTTACAGCTGTGAAAAGACAGCAGGCAGTTGTGTCACTCTTCACAATAAGGAACATATCTTGCTTTCAGCATGTGAGAGGAACAAAAGCATTGATGTAAATGTGCCTCATAGTGAGAACTGAAAACATTAACATAAAATAAAAAAGTCAAATAAGACTAAGTTCTTAAAACTACATATAAAAATTGAATTATTACAACTAAAGCAGCAAATCAAAACGTCTGCTGAGGTTTTCTGGTAGAACAACAACAAAATTAGTTGGTGCCCATGTTCAGTAACTCACTACCATTGACAAAACTAAACCCAAAATAGGAAATTGAAAAGTGCATAATGAAATTAAATCTTGGATCAAGTATTTGTGGAAAACTGGAAATGTTTCTCTGGTATGGTTGATGAATGATGATTTGGAGGAGGTATTAAAGTTTATCTGATCCAGCTTTGGCCTGGCGTTCCACGTAGAAAAGGATGTAGGCCTTTGCCTTCACCACAGTCTCCTCGTCAGTCAGTGTTACAGTACTGTCATTGAAGTGGAACCAGCGGCCTTCGTGAGTTGCGTATGCTGTGTAATGTCCAGAACCAACCCTGTAAAGGCAAAAGACCAAAGGAAAAAAGGACCTCAGAAATCACAAAAAGACCTGTAAACTACATAATGTTAGATTTAAATTTTAGTAAGAATACATCCTAGACTTTTGATTTAAGATGCTTACTAAACTCATGTTTTTACCTTCCTCCAGACTGACCAGAAATCGAGGGTTTGCTACAATGCAAAGCAGATGGCCCTGGACTAATGGAGAAAATACAGAGGAGGAACTCTCAACCTAACGAGCACAGGTCAAGGCCTATGGAAACATGGAAAACTACGTACCAGGTTTTCCCATCAGAATCTTAGGAAAAAACTAAGCTTAACAAAGAAGGGCACCCTTCTCTGACACCGTGGTCATCGGGGCTCTCCCCGATCAGCATGACCCACCCACTCACACACGGAACCTTAGAGTCAGCCCTCCAAGAAAGACAGAAGGCCTGCAGGTAGAACAGACCTTCGTAACTGCCAGCAAAACCCTATTTAAACAATAAAGATCCATCTCATCATTTACTATGATTCAGAATAAACCACCAAAACCAAATTTTAAAAATATTTAAGCCTTTTGCATGCCTACAAAATCAAATTTTTGAGAGGAAAGAAATACCAGGAAGAACAAGTAAAGTGATCAACCCTGAGGAATTGAATGCAGAAAACCTAGGGGAACTTTAAATTTTTTAATTAGTGCTAATAGTTTCAAAAAGATAGTGCAATCATAAAACAAGAATAGGCTGTTATGAAAAAGTTGTCAGAAAAATGTGATTGATGTAATATAAATATTTCATGGAGGAGCTAATCTTTTATTTGGATACAGATGAAACCCAAATTGGTGATTTGGAAAAGTAGGCCATGGCAGTCCTTAGAAACAGAGACAGAAATCATTAAAGAGTATTTAAGACATGTGGAAGAGAGATCCAGAAAATTCGCTATGCATATAATAGGGGGTACAGAGAACAAAGAATGGGTTCAGACCTACAGTATAAACATTTTCATGAGCTGAAGGCACCAAACTAAAAGTGTCCCTACCAACTACCAAGCAGGAATACATTTGATGATATTTAACTCCAAAGATAGAGGATCCTACATACTTCCAAAGGGAAAAAAGCCAGGCGCCTATAAAGTGGTGAGAATCAGACTTGTCCTTCATAACACTATGTGAGTGTAGATGTTACTTTATTCATCTCACAGCTGTGCGGGAAAAGGATTTTCAACATGGATAGTCGTTTGCACACATATAGTAGTCTTATATTTGAAAGTAGAATAGCAACTCTCAGACCAAAAACCAGGTTAGACCCCTAATACAAACTTTTAGGGAAAAAAATTAGTGTTATTTAATAAGACTTAAAATGAATCTTTACAGTAGATGACATGGAGTAAGTTATTCCAAATAATTTCCCCTCTTGCCCCATTTAAATTTCAATTGGTAAAGGAATAAGCAACTTTGGAGTCTGTGGACAAACAGACTGGGTTCTAAATACTGGGTTCAAATGAACCATTCTCCATTTCACTTTTATTTACCTTCCCTTAAGGCTTCACAACATCATCTCAAGAGTACTCTTCTACAGCAAAACTGAAGGAAATTTCACCTACTTTATCTGAACCCATTTTTTAGGGAGAAATATCAAGAGTGGTACAAAACTGCAGGTCATTAGGCTGGCCACCAGGTATTCCCACCCACCAGAAGCTAGCTGTTGCACTCACCCGGAACCATGGTGCACCACCACAGCGGCGAGGTCATACAGGCAGCTCTCCGGGCCACTGTTCTCAGGCTACAGAACAAGGAAGAAGGAGCAGTGGTCAATGACATCAGTATGTCAATGACCTCTAACCTCTCCGTGTGATGACAATCTTACTGAAGAGCCATTTTTTCACCATGCTAAAAAGGTAACCACCTTACCTCTAGTAAGTAGCATTTCATGTCTAGGCCTCTCAATGGAAATTCTACATATGTATCAACTTTATTTCTTAAATATGCTGTCCAGTGAAATCTTTTCAAATGTAAGCATAGCACCTGGGGGACAGAGATGAGGTCAAAGATTGTGAACACCTAAGTTACTTTTCACAGTTTGATACTACTATCAGTTCAGTAAATAACATTTTAGCTGCCCTAGCAATCATTCTTCCATGCATACCTTATGCATTCATTCTGTAAAGGGTTTAGCTTTTACTGAAAATCCTAGAGACATACAGAACAGTTCACATAGTGTAAAGTTATAGACATAGTCTTAGCAGTCAAGCATTTTTCCCTTGAAATTGCTTCATAACTCAAAATTCAACACTCACCTTGGGTAGTTTTTGAATCCAAAACTTTTTTGTGGACTTTTGTTTCTTTTTGCATTTATGGCACATATATAACTCTGTCTCATCAAGTTCTTCTAAGTCAGTAAAACTGCGAAGACAATCTAAACAAATTGATTTTGGCAGCATTAAAACAAGATACCTTTTATAGAGCCAATGTACTGTAGAAAAAAGACTGAACTTTGAAGCTGAATGACGCAGGTTTAAAATCTCAGCTTTATTAGCTATACGACCTTAGAAAAGTTAACCTTTCTCAGCTGCAAACTGGAGACAAAAAATAATACCTACTTTGAAGAACTATTGTAAGGGAGACAAATAACATGTGTAAAGCACCTGGCATCATGCCTGACATCTGGTGATCAATTGTGTTGGTTTTACTATTAATGAAAATTCATCTGGATAATTCTGATAAAAATGGTTTCCTGATGAATTTAAAGTTTCAATTGTGGTTTTCTGTCAATATGTTACATGATAGAGGACAAAGCTCCAAGCTCATAAAAAAAAAAAAGTCAAATTTAGATCATTTAAAAATCAACATAGATCACAGAAGGCTATGCTATCAACATTCTCTGTCCAGACTCTGTACTCTCAGTTCCTAGATAAATCACAGCTACATTTTTTTTTTTGGTTTAAAGATGTAATTGTGTAACCTGGGGTTTAGTAAACTACAGCCCTAAAACATCCAGCCAGCCACCTGGTTTTGTAAATAAAGTTTCACTGGAACACAGCCATGCCCATTTGTTTACATTACTGTCTGGCTGCTTTTACACTACACCAAACTGAGTCACTGGGGCAGAGATCTTATGTGGTGCAAAGCCTAAAACACAGCAAGTCCTCACTTCATGTCATGACAGGTTCTTGAAAAATGTGACTATGTGAAGCAATTTTTTTCTCATCAATGTTATAACTAAACATTAAAGGAAACTGTTACTGGAGGAGCTGCTGTGTGTCATTTTGCTTTAAACTTGCAGTTTCCAAGAAATTACTGATGACATTAAATGAAGACTTACTGTATTTACTCTCTGGCCCCTTTGCCAATTCCTGATGCAATCAGATATTCATAAATCTATATAAAACGCACGTTATTCTGTAGAAAAAATATGAATGCCTATGGACCCCACACTTGGATTTTCTCGAGTACTCAAGGAGCCAGGGTCTCTGTGCATGGCCTCCTAGAGTTGTGCAGTGGGCAACCTGTGCGGCCATGTGCTTCTTACCAAAAAGAATTCCCCTTCCTCTGCCCAGAAGTAGCCATTATCCTGACTTTTATGTTGATCGTTTGTCTTTACAGAGCATGTATGTATCTTTAATGTATTAGTTTAAAGTTGGGTAGCAAGCAGAAACCTAGCTGTGTACAGAATAGCACTCTTGTCTCTGTACTCAAGTTTCCAAGCCATAGTCAGCCTTTGTGTCTGACAGTAGCAGACGGCGCCCTTTCAGGGAAAGTTAGTGGAGGCAAGGTGTGGCAGAGGACTAGACAAAAGTCTTGAATATGCCTTTGTTGCCTGATCCCAGTACCTAGAAGGCACATCCTACACCTGCCTCCCTACAACTCAATTCTCACTTCTTTGAACCTTTCTCGACCTCCAGTGGACAGTTACCATTCTTTCCTCAATTTTCCACAAATACTAGAATTGCCAACCTGCTCAAACTGCTATTTTATGTCAAGGATGGTTCCTGGGAAAGGATATATTATATTTTGACATTACATTTCCTGAAGAAAGTCTCAGACTCTACACTCAAACTTGCAAATAGAGTGATGTTGTTCTCAGGAGCCTCCCAAGTCCCACATCTCTGGCTACAAAGAGCACTGACTACACAGCAGACTGACTGGCTAGCACTGATAATCCCTTCAGACTGTGAGATCACTATGGTGCTTGTGAGCTCTGCAGGTGAAGTCACAGATGCTTTCATCAGCAAGTATTTGTTACATCATGTAAAAAGCTATGGCCTTGGCGGGGACAGGGCGGGTCATAGGGAGAATAAGAAATGAGGAAAGGAAACAGAATTTTCCACATTTAAAATCATCATTTGAACACTCAAACTAGAAAAAAGAGAACTTCAACATGACAAAGGCCATATATGAAAACCCACAGTGAACGTCACACTCAATGGTGAAAGACTGAAAACTTTTCCTCTAAGATCAGGAAAACAAGGATGCTTACTTTTGCCACTTCTGTTCAACATAATATTGGAAGTTTTAGCTAAAGCAACTAGGTAAGAAAAAAAACATCCAAAATGAAAAGGAAAAAGTATAATTATCTCTGTTGACAGATCACATGATCTCATGTAAAAAACCCTACAGTTACAAAAAAATTAACTGTACCTGAAAGCTATGAAATGTTGCTGAAAGAAATTTTAAAAGACATAAAGACATCCTGTGTTCATGGATAGGAAGACTCACTATTGATGTCAGTTCTTCCCAACTTCATCTGTAGATGCAGTGCAATCTCAAACCAGCAAATTATTTTGTGGATGGTGACAAAATTAAAGTTTATTATGGAAAGGCAAAAGACCAAGAAGAGCAAATACAACATTGAAGAAGAACAAAATTGAAAGACTGATATTACCCAACTTAACTTATTACAAAGCTATAGTACCAAGACAATGTGCTGGCGAAAGAAAGAAAACAGATCAGTGGAAGAGAATAGAGCACCCAGAAATAGACTCATACAAATATAGTCAACTGCCTTTGACAAAGGAGCAGAGACAATACAATGGAGAATGGATAGTATTTTCAACAAATGGTACTAGAACTGGACATTCACAGGCCAAAAAAAAAAAAAAAAAAATCTAGACACAGACCTTTTATTCCCTCCACAAAAACTATTAAAATAGATCAAAGGTATAAAACTATCAGAACATAGGAAAAAATCCAGATGACCTTGGGTTTGGCAATGGCTTTTTAGATGCAACACCAAAGGCATAATCCATGAAAGAAGGATTTATAAGTTAGACTTCATTACAATTAAAAATTTTTGCTCTGTAAAAGATACTGTCAAGAGAATGAAAAGACAGGATACAAAATCAACATACAAAAGTTAGTTGCATTACTACACACTGACAATGTATTCATTGTTAGGTATTTCCAAAAAGGAAATTAAGATAATTTCATTTATAGTAGCATCAAAAAGAATAAAATACTTAGGAATACATTTAAGGAGACAAAAGACTTATACCTGAAAACTACAAAACATTGCTGAAATAAAATTTTAAAGACATCCTGCATTCATAGATTGGAAGACTTGATGTTGTTAACATGATTATTACTACCCAAAGCAATCCACAGATTCAGTGCAATTCTTATCAAAATCCCAGTAGAAATTTTTGCAGAAATAGAAAACCCATCCTAAAACTCACATGGACTCTTAAGGAATCCTGAATAGCCAAAACAATTTTGAAAAAGAACAAAAAAGTTATAGGACTCACACTTTTGATTTTAAAACTTACTACAAAGGTACAGTAATCAAACAGTATGGCACTGACATAAGAACAGACATACAGACCAATGAAATAAACTCTTACATATACAGTCAACTGATTTTTGACAAGAATGACAAGACTACTCAATGGGGAAAGGACCATCTTTTCAACAAATGGTGCTGGGGAAACTGGATATCAACATGCAAAAGAAGTTGGACAGTTACACCATATACAAAAATTAAAATAGATCAAAGGTCTGAAACGTAAGTCTTAAAACTATAAAACTCTTAGAAGAAAACATAAGGAAAAAGCTCCATGACATTAGATTTGGCAATGATTTTGATATGACACCCAAAGCACAGGCAACAAAAGAAAAAATAGATAAGCTGAACTTTATCAAAATCAAAAAATTGTGTATTAAGGGACACTATAAAGAGAAACCACAGAATGGGAGAAAAATATTTGCAAATCATGTATCTGGATAAGGGATTAATGGCCACAATATATGAAGAACTCCTAAAACTCAACAACAAACTGATTCAAAAATGGACAAAGGACATTAATAGACATATCTCCAAAGAAGCACAAATGACCAATAAACACATAAAAAGATGCTCAACATCACTAATTACTAAACTCAACGACAACAACAAACTGATTCAAAAATGAGGAAAGGACTTTAATAGACTTTTCTACAAAGAGGCACAAATGACCAACAGACACATAAAAAGATGTTCGACATCACTAATTACTAGGGAAATGCAAATCAAAACCATAGTGACATACTACTTCACAGTTACTAGGATGGCTGTTATTTAAAAGACAAAAACAAAAGCAGAAAATAACGTGTTAGCTAGAAAGTGGAGAAATTAAAACCATTGTACCAGCCAGGTACGGTGGCTCATGCCTGTAGTCCCAGCACTTTGGGAGGCTGAGGCGGGTAGATCACGAGGTCAGGAGATCGAGACCATCCTCGCTAACACATGGTGAAACTCCGTCTCTACTAAAAATACAAAAAATTAGCCGGGCGTGGTGGCAGGTGCCTGTAGTCCCAGCTACTTGGGAGGCTGAGGCAGGAGAATGGCATGATGAACCTGGGAGGTGTTGGTTGCAGTGAGCTGAGATCACACAACTGCACTCCAGCCTGGGCGACAGAGCAAGACTTCATCTCGAAAAAACAAACAAACAAAAAAACCATTGTACCTTGCTGGTGGGAATGTAAAATGGTATAGCCACTGTGGAAAAATCTGGCAGTAACTCTGGCAGTAACTCAACAAGTTAAACAGAATTATGATCCAGCAATTCCACTCTTAGGTATATACCCAAAAGAACTGGAAGCAGGAACTTAGATACATGTACACCAGTGTTCATAGCAGCATTATTTGTAATAGCCAAAAGGTGGGAACAACCCAAGTGTCAACAGATGAATGGATGAACAGAATGTAGTCTATACATACAGGAGAATATTAAGCCTCAAAAAGGAAGTAAATTCTGAGATATGCTACAACATGGATGAACCCTGAAAATATGCTAAGTCAATCACAAAGGGATAAATACAGTATGATTCCACTTAATATGAGGTGCCTAGAATAGACAAAATTCATAGAGTGTAGAATAAGAGTTACTGAGAATAAGAGAGGAAAAATAATGAGTTACTGTTTAATGGGTACAGAGTTTCTGT